ATTTTATTTTATTTTATTTTATTTTATTTTATTTTATTTTATTTTATTTTATGTACATAGGTGTTTTGCCTTCGTGTATAGCTATAGTGCCACATCCACACCTGGTATCAGTGTCAGACTCACTGAAACTAGAGTTACCCGAGGCTGTGAGTGGCAGCCCCTGTGGCTTGTAGTACTGAATACATACTCACCAGACACCTTCTGCTTTCATGTCACATGTACTTTACGATTCTTTCTACAGTTCCATTCCTTGCTATTAAGGTCTTGTCCTCTCCTCTCCTGATCCTCTTTTGGCTTACACACACACACACACACACACACACACAGACACAGAAAGAGAGAGAGAGAGAGAGAGAGAGAGAGAGAGAGAGAGAGAGAGAGAGAAAGAGAGAGAGACAGAGACAGAGACAGAGAGACAGAGACACACAAAGACAGATAGACAGACAGACAGAGACAGATTTAAATCTGTGTTCCATATGGGAAAGAAAACAGGCAGTATTTGTCTGAGTCTAATTCATGATACTTAACATGATTCTCGGGCTGGAGTGATGGCTCAGCTTTTCTCAGTACCCTCATGGGTACTTAAGTACCCACATACTACTCAAGAAAAAAACCACAACAATGTTGTTTAAAAGCTGAGAAAAGGCTCAGCGGCTTTTATGAGTCAAATGCCAGAAGGGTTTCTATTTTCCCTTTCTCTTCTTCCTGTGCTCTACATATCAACCCTGTAATTATTTCTCCATGTGCATGTAGCTTCTGTTTACAGTAGGCAATGTAAATGAATGTGCTCAACTCAAAAGGCAAATTAAAAGGTGATAATTGAGCTGACATACAAAAAATGGCATTTTAATTTAACTGTTTCTTCGTGGAGCACACTGAACATAAAGTAAATAACTCCAGTAGAAAATGGATGCTTCACAATGTGTGCCATTCTGTTGGGATAATGGTGGCGTCGGGAGCTGCACTCAGGCCAACAGTGGGGCTGGACACAGGGACAGTGGCCAAAACAGAGTGCTGAAGTTTTGCTGCACATGCTTAAAAATGCAGAGAGTAATACTGAACTTAAGGGTTTAGACGTAGATTCTCTAGTCATTGAACACATCCAGGTGAACAAGGCACCTGAGATGCGCCAACAAACCTACAGAGCTCACGGCCGGATTAACCCATCCATGAGCTTCCCCTGCCCAAAGCCAGAAGAGGATTGTTCTTGCACAGAAGAAAAAGATATCTCAGAAGAAACTGAAGAAATAAAAACTCATGGCATAGGAATAAATTCAGAATAAAATAAATGCAGATAAAGTAAAAAAAGAAAAAAAGAAAAGAAAATGGATGCTTCAAAGTTTTAATTATTAACACAAAGTTTTAATAAAGAGATTGCTAAATTAAAAGTACTTGTAAACCAGACCTAGTGACACAGCCTTGTAATCCCAGCTACTTGGGAGGCCTGCCTGGATAGCAGGGTGACTTCAAGGCCAGATCCTGTCTCAGGACAAGGAGTAAAGAGGATCAGAGACTTAGCTCCGCATGGGAGCTGGTATGAGGCCAGTCACACCGGAGGCTGTGCTGGTACTCTTGAAACCCTACTCTCACATGGCTAATTCTAGCTTCATTCCCAATACCCACTCTAGAAATCCCTTCAATTATATCCCCAAACTTTAACCATGAACTCTGCCAAACTTGGTTTTTAAAACTAAGAGAGACATTCATGACACAGAAACGTTTAAGGGTGAACATATGTAATAAATCCTTTTACCATGAAAAGAACTTTAGGATAGCTGGGAAGTAGTGGTGCATGCCTGTAGTCCCAGCACTCAGGAGACAAAGGCAGGTGAATGTCTGTGAGTTTGAGGCAAGCCTAGACTAGAGAGCTATTTCCATGGCAGTCAGGCCACACTGAGAAACTTTGACTGAAAAGCAAAACAAAACAAACAAAAACCTTTAGCATTATGAAAGATGAAAATGAGTGTGATATGTTTTCACTCTGGAAAAAGAACATAAACATCATAATATATGATTCTCAAGTGTCTTCAAGTCTAACGTTTGGCATGGTGCTCAGTGGAACTCTATGCATTTGCATCTGTGTATAGAGGAAGACAGAGCCTTGCTTGTTTAGGAGCACAAACTGTAAGCAGTAGGTCCAGGCCACTCTCTCACCACAGCACTGGAAAACATAGACTTGCATGCTTTTGTTTGGCATGGAGATCACTGATGGTAAGTGTGGCATTTAGACTGCCTTTAACAGCTCACTGCACCTCAGTACTATGACAAAAGCTGCCATTTATTAAGCTTGGTTAATGCTTCACATTCATTACATGGATCTAGGCATGATACATATATCACAAAATGGCAAATATTACATATGCAAAGTACGCCCAGAATTTGGCATACAGTAGTGATTCTATCAGCACCAACTGTTGGACATATTCCTTATTCCCACAATGCTGTATGTAGTTGATGAGATTTATCTTCATTTCTCAAATGAGAAAACTGAGGGCAAAAGACATAGCTAACATACCAAAGGTCACATGATCAGAAAGCTGTAGAACCCAGGATTCCATTCCATAATCATTAATTTCATGGAGTCCCTATGTAATTGAGATTATATTTTTTAATGTTGAAAGTCAGAGAATGCATATCAAAAAAGAGAAAAATATATTATAAAAAAGGAGGAGGAGGAGGAGGAGGAGGAGAGGACAACAACGACATTTTTGTTACCTTGATGGGCCAAGCAGGCAAAGGCTGCAAAAAGTTGCATGCATAAGGGTAGTTCACCATGGCCAGGTTCACCCAGGTCTCAGCTATCCATCCTTTTAAAGTTGGGATTTTCTCAGAAGTCAACGGGCTACACAGGTGAAGAGCATTTGTAAGCCACTGGAGACCACTCCCTGCAGATAAAAGGACACTGTTAATCTATAGGTCAACCAATCATTTATTCATTATTTGGTATTACAGAAAACATCCAACATTCAATAAAATATTTTAGGGCAACAAGATATTATTTTCCAGTTTAAGATACTTTTGAAATAAATGAGAATACTAAAAAAGAATGCATAAACTACAACTAAATAAAACAAATGGATACACTTATACTGTGGCTCAACAGGGAGTCTCCATGTAGGTGTGAAGAGGTACTGTAGTCAGAAGTAGCACGAGATTTTTTTGTCTTTTTTATTGGTGGTGGTTTTGTCTTTTCTTGATCTGGATATTATCAATACTAAGCACTTACTTTGTAAAAATTTATTCATTCATACATTTTGATTGATATGATTCCCTATATATATAATATATATGTCTATGAATCGTGTGTGTGTGTCTGTGTGTGTAATATGTGGCAGTGTTAGGCTACGTGGAGGTCACTCAGTAGGTAAAGTACTGCTATGCAAATATAAGGATCTGAGTTTGTATTCCTATTAACCAATATAAAAACCCAGAAGTGGTGGTGTGCACCTATAACTCCACTTCAGGTCAGGAGAGAGAAAAAATAAGCAGATCCCTGAATGTCACTGGCAAACTAGCCTATCCTATTGATGAGCTGCAGGTTCACTGAGAAACTATGTCTCAAGAAAAAAGGGAGGAATGGTAGAAGAAAGGAATCCTGTCGACCTCTGACCTACACACATATACACACACAAACATATGCCTACTGCATATACACAACAATGATCACATACCGTACTAAAAGGCACATATATAACACATAAAAACCATTCAAACTCATATAATACATTGTACACACACACACACATATATACAAACAACAAATACAATTATTTAAAACCTTACAATAAGTGCCAGTGTTAATTTTTAATAAGTTAAAGGTTAAAAAGCAAACAAACAAACAAAAATGAATACACTGCAAATTCTGTCTCCTAATGAAAGCTTACCCGTACTTGAGAGTTGGTTAATGACATTCCAGGATTTGCGGATACTTTCTGAACAATATGGACCACTTTTCCTGAAATCTTTAGTTACAATCTTCATAAACTCACCACAGGGAGCCATACCATCAAGCTGCCAGATAGGGGCAGAAGCTGCAAGAGCTCTAGACGATCAGGGAAATGGGAGGAGAAAAAGAGAAATATAATTCATCTATTCATGCTTTTTGTTTGTTTTGCTTTTTTAAATGTGTGTGTGGGTGTACTCATGTATGTTTTGTGTGTGTATGCGTGAGTGCGTGAATGCAAGAGTGTGTGTGTGTGTGTGTGTGTGTGTGTGTGTGTGTGTGTGTGTAAATCCCTGTAGAGGCTAGAGAAGGGGTCAGATCCCCTGGATCTGGAGTTATAGGTAGTTGTGAGCCACCTGACACGAGTGCTAGACACCAAGCTCATACCCTCTGAAATAGCAGTAAGTGCTCTTAAAACTGAAACATCTCTCAGACACTAGCTTTAGTATAGAAACTGAATGAATCAAAGATGATTAGAAACATAACATTGTTGGGTTTTTTTTGTTGTTGATATTGTTTTTGTTGTTGCTGTTTGAGACATGGTCTCTCTACATAACCCAGCTTGTCTTGACACTCACTATGAAGACCAGGCTGGCATCGAACACACAAAGATCCACCTATCTCTGCCTTCCAAGTACTGAGGTTAAAGGGGTGTGCCACCAGACCTGGCCCATAATACTGTTGTTAATGAGAAAGAAGTGTCCATAGAACATAGCACAGAGCAGGTATTACCCAAAACAAATCCCTAATTTTCTCTTGATTGTTAAGAACTGTACAAGAATCAATGTACTTACCCAACTACTACGTGAGGATATTTCATCCTGAACCAGGCTGCAAGCATGCCGCCATAAGAGCCCCCAATGGCGATGACAGGTTGATCTTTAGCTCCGGGGATTGTTTTTTTCAAGTGTCTGATTAACTCTGCAAAATCAGCCAGAGCCTGCTCTGATGTCAGGAAATTCAAGTGTTGGGAATCCTATACTTGTGTATATTTATTTAAGAATAAAGACAAAGAAAACAGGTATAAATGTACACACAGCAGCTGAGGCACAGCATAGGTTCAGAATAGAGTTTTCATTACTTGAAATAAATTTCCAGACAACTGAGCTAAAAGCCCACATCATCCACATCAAAGCAATCTATGAAAAAGTAACTTTAACTCTGTGAAAGAATAGGATATATTTTCCAATCAGATCTAATTTTATTGCTTTTAGAGCTTATTTTCAAATGCAATACAGGAAGCAAGACCTAGCACATATTCAAACTTTTAAGATGCTTCCCTTAAAGGACAAAGAGAGATCTTGCTATGCCCTACTTGAACATTTAGCCAGTCTGATTCTTCTGCCAGACCTCTGGTTTTTGTTCAGAAATTTAATAAAAACTATAAGCATATTTATGCTATAAGCATAAATATATTATGCTATAAGCATAGTTATGGGGACACACAGAGTCTGTAAAGGTAGGCTTCTTAAGCCTTTTTAGTTCATGTCTTTTGGGTAGAGGGCAGTGATCTTATGAGGTTTGAAAGATACTTTTGTTTCTGAATAAAAAGAAACTGCAGCAAGATTTGTCACTATGATATGCTGGCAAGTTGGTGGGGTTGGAGGGGGACATCTCCAGGACGGACCATAGACCTCGAATAGGGAGGCTAATCAATAGCTGTGACTTACTATACTGGGGATATGTAACTTAAAGAGGACACCTCCTGTAGCCAAGCAGGAACCCTAGTAGAGCGAAAGGGACACCAATCCATCCACAAAACTTTAGACTCAAAATGTATCCTGTCTACAAGAAATGCAGGGATGTGGGGGGCAGTGGAACAGAGACTGAAGGAATGACCAACCAATAACCAGCCCAACTTGAAACCCATGCCATGGGCTAGCACCCTGACACTATTAATGAAACTCTGATATAGCACGGCACCACCCAGCATCTGACTCAGATGACGCAGAGACCCATAACCAAACACTGGATGGAGCTTGGGGACTCTTATGGAAGAGAGGGAATGACTGAGGGCCCTGAAGGGGATAGGAACTAGCCTGAACCCTTGGAGCCTCTCAGAGACGGAACCACCAAGCAAAGAGCATACACAGGCTGGACCTAGGCCTCTCTGCACATAGGTAGCAGATGTGCAGCTTGGTCTTCATATGGGTCCCAAACAATGGGAGCCGGGGCTATCCCTAAAGTTGTCACCTTGTCTGTGGGATACTTTCCTCTATCTGGGCTGCCTTGTCTAGCTTCAGCAGGAGAGGTTGTACTTAGTCTTTCAGAGACTTGATGTGCCAGGGTAGAGGGATATGGGGTGGGGTGGGGGGGCTCCATCCTCTCTGAGGAGAAGGAGGGGGCAGAGGGACTGTTACAGGGGAGATGGGGGGCAGCGATCCGGATGTAAAGTGAATAAAAAAGAAAAGACATTGCTGCCAAGTCTCTGACACTAAAAGCAACTCCCTTCTTGCCTGGTGGTCACCAGTTCTACCAGGACAGTCTGTTTTTCTTCAGTACTTTTAACACAAACACAGCTACAAAAAGAAAAGAAAAAAAAAAAAAAGAGCAGCAGTTCGGGGGTGGGGAGGTGGTTGAAACAGTTGCAAATCACAAGGTCTGTTAGCAGGGGAGCGTTAGCATAACTGAGGAAAGCTTCAGCTGAGCCCCAGAGCTCCGGGAGCCACAGGGAGCTAGGTAGAAAGTGAAGAATACTGGGAACACAGATAGATGTGTGCCCCTCCCCTCCTCCATCCCCTTTACCCCAAAGTTTCTCCTTTAACAGGGCAGCTGGCCATGGGGAAGGGAACTCATCCCTCGGTTTCCTTGAAGGAGTTTAAAAATTAACTTTCCACCACGATGGCAATGCACCTTGGCCCTATCCTGGAAATGTCACGATTTCCGAACACTGAAACACAGCTTGCAATCTTGTTTCTCCAAGAGGATAACGATGTTCTCTGCCCAAGCCTGGGATGTATCTTGTTTGTGTTCCCTTTCCGAATGCCATTTACACCAGATGCTATTTGCTGAAGGCCTTGTTGAGGTTGTAGAAGCAATAGAAACAACCCCCAAGTAACATTCAACAATAAACGTGATGGATTATGAAACAGCTTAATATGCAACTGAGAATAATGTCATTTCAAGTCTTGACACATTTAAGCTGTCCAAGATTTAGTCAAAGATGAATTAAATTCAACAATGAACGGGTTAAACCCAGCTCAGTTCCCCAACTACAAAACAAACAAAGAACCCCAGAGAGGCAGCTCAGCAGTTAAGAGCACTTGTTGACCTTGCAAAGGACCTGAGGTTGGTTCCTAGCATTCACGATGTGGCTCACAACCATGCATAACTGTAGTTCCAGGGGAAGAAGTACTCCCTTCTGGACTTCTCACCAGGCTCCCACATGGTACACAGCCATATGCAGGCAAAAGTTATATACATAGAATAATTCTGAATTTTCTTTTTAAAAGTGACTGCATGGCTTTAAAGACCTTGGGGTAGGGCTGAGAACGAAGCTTAGAGAGAAGGTTTGCACACAGGAAGCCTGGGTTTGATCCTTGGCATAAAAAGAAAAAAGGAAAGAATAATTCTCATTTTGTAAAAATTATATATATTAAGGAAAGGTAAAGTACAAATTATTAAGTTTTCAGGCACTTCAAATTAAAGGGATCTCACACTGTTTTATAAAATGTTCTAAACTTAAACAAATAACTACCAAAAAGGGCACCCAAAATCTTTAACCTTAAAAGAAAATTGTGTACCTTGAAGGAGTCCTGACCAAAGGGAAGGGACTCCCCGTAGTATCGATGCTCAGCAAACACCAGCATAGCTTTCAGCTCCTCAGCCACTTCCCACATGAACCCCTAGAAAGACAAATTCACAAGTCAAATTGGACCATGAAACATTACCTTGAACTTTTGCAAACCATATGAAATAGATGTAAGACCAGACCAGAAAGAATTCTCTAAAAGCTGTGCCATGCATGTGTGTTCCACAGGGGGAACCCACAATAGCTGTATCACACTGTACTACAGAGGAACAAAATAAGTGTGTTTGTCTAGTCACCTCATCTCTTCTTATCATGACCTTCTGACCCTGGGTCAATAGTATAAGTCAGTCTTCAGACTGCACTGTGGTTAATATTCCAGGAAGGAGGTAAAAATATCTAAGCTGCTCCTCAAACACATACACAGACAACATAAAGGAATTAAAAGAAAAATAAGCATAGTAAACCCCCTTGGGATTTTAATCTTTCATGTTAGGAAATTAACGGTAGCTAACAGCAGCTGTTATTAATTACTGCTTGCATGTATCAGATACTGTTCTAACTGCACATGTAATAATTCACTTAATTAGCACAATAAACAAGAATCAGGCACCGTGGCTTTACAGGCAAAGGCACTGAGACACAAGGCTCAGCGTTCACACAGGTGGCACAGCCAAGACTGAAATACAGGCTGCAATGCAGAGCAGTCACCAAGGCCACTGGGCTTCCCTATTTCACGCTGGCTCCTCTCTAACCATTCGCTGCCTCTTTCCCTCTGACTGGACGGTGCCCTCTGAATCCTTCCTAAGAAAGCATCCAAGGCAGACAGCATTAATTGATTATATCAGTGGTTCTCAACCTGTGGGTTGTAACCACTGAGAGGTATTGAACAACCCTTTCACAAGAGTCTTCCAAGATCACAAGAAATATCAGATATTTACATTATAATTCATATCAGCTGCAAAATTACAGTTATGAAGTAGCAACAAACATAATTTTATGGTTGGGATTCACCACAACTGTACTAAAGTGAGAAACTGTGTTAAAGGGTTGCAGCATTAGGAAGGCTGAGAACCGTGAGATTGGACAGTTTAGCATAGGTTAAAACCATGTCATTCCTGGTAAATGCTGTAGGTGTTTAATATAGTACTATTTCCTAATGAAGCATAGGAACCTCAAAATGGCTTTGGTTATTCTAACCAATCTATAAGGAATTACAGGAGCTGCCTGTGGGGATAATGGACATGTTACCCTGATATCTGTGTCCCTAAGACCCCACCTTCTCTTTCAGGGAGATGCTCACCCTTGCCACATATCCCAGGTCCGGCCACACCCAGCTCACGAAACCCTCCCCTGCACTCCTCAGCCCAGCAGAGCTGGCCATCTCCCCTCAACACCAGAGGGCTGCAAAGAACTCCTGCGCCTGCTGCAGCAGGAACTCACATGTGTGCCTCATACCACCAGACTGCAAGGTCTTAAGAGAAGGAGCAGAGGTCTATGGGATTGATCTCAGGCTTTGACAGGAAGTACCTTAACTGAACCAATAAATGATGCAATTAGTGATTATTCGCCTCCATTCATTTCAAGGGTAATTTTATCATTCAAAAGAGGTCTATGTCATGGATTAACAAGCTGTACTAACAGGTTCTTTAATCTTATTATTTAGTCCTCACACCTATGGGAGCTAGGCCTTCTTACTATCCACCCTGAACAAAAGGCTGGAGTTAAAAGCAAACCAAAATAGCAAACTGGCAGTCAGAATGGAAGCCTCATCCATCTGCTCACAGTCTTCACTGCTTCTCAAAAACTTAATGTCGGGAAGTGAACATCAAGCTGAAATGCTTTAGTTTATAGGAAGCTGCCAAGGGCTTGAGAGATCTAGGATCTGCCCCTCTAGGATCGGACCTTCTAGGATCTGCTTTGGACACTTAGTTAAAACTGTTCCTCTTTTCTACCTCTCTCAGGACACGGCTACCCAGCAAGTGTTCAGTGGGGGCTGCAGAGCCTAAGAAGCACTGGGGTCTCAAGACTGGACATCTCTCTGCCTGAAATAAAATAGAGGAACTGGCCAGAAAAGATTGCCTGTGGGTTTGGCAGAGAAGAGTAGCTCAGAAAAAAGTATGCTGTGTAGTATACATCTTTAATCCCAACACTCAGGAAACAGAGGCAGAAGCAGGCAGATCTCTGGGTTCAAGATCAGCCTAGTCTATATAGCAACTTCCAGGACATCCAGGGTTACACAGAGAGACCCTGTCTCAAACAAATGAAAAATGAATCAAAAAGGAAAGAAACAAAGCAGAACTGTTTTATACAAAATAGTCCCAGGAATCTGGACACTTACCTAATGTCTTTTCTCAGGAGCTATTTCATTTTAAATATATTTATTATGATTTTTTAAAAATTTTATTTTATTATTATTATCATATTTTATTTACCTTTTTGGATTTTTGAGACAGGGTTTCTCTGTGTAGCCCTGGCTGTCCTGGAACTCAGTCTGTAGACCAGGCTAGCCTCGAACCACTCTGCTTCCCAAGGGCTGAGATTAAAGGCATACATCACCACTGCCTGATATTTGTTATTTATTTGTTTGTTTTTCTTTTGATTGTCTGGCTTTGTGGGCTGTGTGTCACTATAGAAGCAGGAAAGACTAGAATTTACAGTCTTCTACCCCCACCTCCTCAGTGCTACACAGAGAGGTGCACCCCCACACCCAGGAGATTTGGGTCTTGGCCATCTGAAGACAACAATCACAAATGAGTAAGACAGTAACTGTATACTTAGAGCCATGTCTTTCCTGTTAACTCAGTTCAGTTGAGCAAACATTTCTCAAGATCCCCTGAGTGTGGTGCCCTGTTGGGGCATTGGCACTGAGAAGGCTCTACTCCCTACTGGGCAGGAGTACACAGCCTAGCTTCTTGGGAGAAATTTGACATTTTCTAGTTGCAGCACTGTCTGTTAATATATGCATTGTTAAAAGGTGATAGAAAATTAAGTTAGTGAAGCAAGCTAGTAGATTATACTATTTTAATTCTAACCACTTAAAAATGGGTAGAAGAGGAAACTAGATGAAAATGCTGCTACTGTATCTCCCCTCTTCCACTTGGACAGTCAAACTTTTATATTTTTCTTTGTTTGCATTGGTTTCATTTCAGTCCGTGTTGAGATGGGGTTTCACATAGCTCAGTCTGACCTTGAATTAGATGACAGCACAAGCTGGTTCTGAATTCCTAGCACTGACACTTCTCATTCACTCGTGAACTTTTACCATCTTTCTATTACTATTGAGTTTATTTTATTTTATTTTATTTTATTTTTTATTATATTTATGAACTCATTTAGGGAGAGCACATGCCACATCACACTTGAGGACATCAAAGAAGAACGTTTAGAGGTTGGTTTTCTCCTTCTGTCAAATAGGCTCAGGGATGAAGTCAGATCATGAGCCTTTGCCAGCTGAGCCATCTTGCTCACTCTCTTTTTAGTTTTGAAGAACATTATAATTAAAACAGTAATTCTTGGTCATCTATAGTGCCAAACATTTCTCCTGTTTATAACTATAAAATATATATTTCAGCAGACTACTAATGTGTACATACCGTATTATTGCAAAACCATACAATGTCCCCTTCGTTACCAGTGTAGAAAAGTATTGATCCACCATCTTTATGCCAGTATTTATCAGCAACTAGGTACCGCTGTTTAAAAGTTCTTGTGTCAGAAAACCCAAAGTGGTCAACCTATGATAAAAACAAAACAGGCAAGACATATTTCAAGGAAAAGTAATTGAAATTAACATTAAGTAAGTTACACTAACACTCTTCCATTGAAATCAAACTATACTATAAAAATAATCAAAAGAAAATTTAATTAATAAATTAATTTGGTTTCATTAATGCTAATGTCATTTTGAAATTATTTTGCTTATATACTGAGATGAAGCAGTATTTCTTATGGTGGTCAAGATTTTCAGTGTAAAAGAAAAGATATAATTATAAAATCAAATAGTTACTTAAAACACCTCAAATTAAAGTTTTAAAATTTGATTTAATTTTATCTGATTATTTTTTATGGAAAAATAAAAACTATATACTTATAGTGCTACAATATGATGATAAAATATGTACATATTTCAGAGTGGATAAATTGGGCATCAGCATCACTTCTCATACTTACTGTTAGTGTGGTGAGAACATGTGGTACTTGTCAAATAGTCAACACATCCCATTAGTTCTCAAAATGCCGTACTATCTGAATTTTCATTGTTCAAATTTTTTAGTATAAAAATCAAGAATTAATCAGATCACTGAAAAGTTCTATGAACTGTGTGATTCAAATACCAACAGACATTCCAAATGTCAGAATTTTGATGTCTAACCATTTCAAAGAAAAAGAGCCAATAAAGAAACTAAGGCTTTTGTTACCAAAGTGACTGGATGACATCTGGGACAAAGAAATTATAGGATGGGCCAATACATCCTATCACACAAGGGAGCAAAGGCATGTTTAAAAACAGCAGGGTTGCATCAGCCAGTGAAGGCAGGAGTCAACAACAAAGGAACTGTTACTGGCTCACATTTTAATAAGCTTAGCATAAAACAAACTAACCATAGAAATAATTAGTTTAATTGGCTGAAATATTCAATTCGTGTAAGCCATTAATATATAGGTCAAACAAGGGGAAAGTTCAACTGCCACCATTTAAAGTGTCAATACAACTTAGTAAAGGCTCAACACAACTAAGCCACCATAAATTAATTCCTTATTTTGAAACTGGGAATTAATGGTTAAAAATTCCATAGTAAAGCTGCCTTTCTGATAGTACTATCTTCCAGAGTACCAAATTGTCCCAAGATGAAGAAGAGCTATTAACTAAAAGTCAGTTATTGAAGAAAGGTGATTAAGTTAGAGAAATGATAGTTCTGCAAAGTCCCTGATTCAGACAAGAGTTATAAATGGTATTTAAAAACACCAGGGAAAAAAAAACATAAAACACATCTTGATATCACAAACTACAGTAATGCTTTACAGAAAGCACTGAGCTATCAGTACCTTAATCTAATATCATAGCTGGTCGGGTAAACTGGGCACATATGCCTTCTCATGCATACAATGTTAAAAAAAAAAAACCCAAAACCACACACTGTCTTGTTGGGAACACGCAAAAGAAACTTATTACTGCCATTTCATTTTCTGACTCCATTTAATCACAGAGAGAAACTAAATCCAGGGTCTGAGGGCCTAGGGAAACTGAGTGCTTCCCTATAGCTGAACAGCTTCTGTTGCAAACAGTTGTCTGAGTCTAGACATCTAAAGAACAACTCGTATGGGGATGATTGTGAATCCAGCCATCTCAAAGACAACTTCTCCATCTTGCTAACAGGATCAAACTAAAAACTAAGTTCATGTTTCTAGACCCAGGAACCAGCTCCTATCCTGATTGATGGAAACTCCCTGCTCAACCCCTTATGTCAAAATATGACGGAAACAATGGTACAGCCCCCCCCCAGTTCCACATATCTCTGTGATTTCTTCCCGCATATATGATGTGCAACGTTCCTTCAGGGTAGCAGTTTAGCTTCCTAGTCTGTCCTGTGGCCCTGATCAATCAATAGCAGCTCGATTACATTTTTTTTTCATCTGCCTTGACCTGATGTTTGAGTTCTGTTACATTTAAGTGGACTCGCGACAGTCTATGATTCATTCTTGTCAAAATTGTTCCATTTTTAAATTTTAATCCTGACTTTAGATTACCCCGAAGGAGGAAATACAGAGGTCAGAAGAGTAAACTGAAGTCTCCAAAAGACAACCGGGCAAATCTGAGGGTAGGACATGTTACAAGACAATGCATGGCCAGAGACCACTCTAGACTAACTAAGTTTTAAGGAACATGATAAGCAGGACAGTGCAATCCAGGGTTGACCCTAGTTTAGCAAATAAGATGCAAGTGATGAACTGGAGTGACTGAGTTAAGTGATGAACTGGAGTGATTGAGTTAAGTGATGAACTGGAGTGATTGAGTTAAGTGATAAACTGGGGTGATTGAGTTAAGTGATAAACTGGAGTGATTGAGTTACGTGATGAACTGGAGTGACTGAGTTAAGCTTACTTAAATGTTTTTATTCTCTACACGTGTACCCTGGACGGTTTAAGAGATAGACTATAATGCTGACTATCATCTTGGAATTACTCTGACAAGAATAAACAAAGTGAATTTATATGAATTGAAATTTCATCTGCACTGGAAAAAATAACATACAAAAGGTACTTGGACTTTACAAAATAGCCAAACCACGTCAAAAATAAAAAAGAATAATTTAAACATGAGGAACTTTCGATATATTTTTAAGGCTTTATTATTTCTTTAACTTTTTGAAATCATGAACTACCATATAAATATAACTATCAAACCTCTTACAATGGTAACATGCACATATAACTACAGGAAAGAACTACCCTAGAGCCTTTAGGATGGCAGAGGCTGATATCTCCGTGACTCGAAGGGACAGTATAAAGAGTGTCGTGTCTGGTCTGAAGCACACCACACTAGATCCTAAGAGGGAAACGAAGCTTTCCAGTGAATTACAAGATTTACTCTTGCCTCTGGCTCCCAAGTGCTGGATTAAAGGTGTGCACCACCCTTGCCCAGTTTACAAGAATTATTCTTACAGTGTCAACAGCCCTCCCCCCCCCCCAGGGCTTTCCTAACTATTAAGCCAGAAACAAATGTCCTTTGCACAACATGAGTTTCCAGCCCCTGCCTGGCTCTTTCCCATCATCAAGAACATCAATTGCAGCTATAGAACTGAGGGTTCAGTACCCAGTGGTCACACACAGGATCAATGTGCCCTCTGCTGAACAGACTGAGACACACATTTCCAAGGCCTCCAGTGGAGACTTTAGGAATCACAGCATGAAAGAAAGCACTGCAGAAGCCAATCTTATCTGCTTGCTCTAAGCAAGCTGAGTGCAAAGGGCCAACAAAAGTAGGTGTTAGCGCCCCAAAAGCCTTGCAGGCATGACCCGGAAAAGGAAGCACATATCTAGTCATGCACAGCAGTTCCTTCTAAAATAGAGTGAAAGAAATAGAGGAAGGATGATAGGAAAGGAGGGAGGGAGGGGAAGGGAAGAAGTGAGGGACAGAGGGAGGGAAGGAGGGAAGAAGGAAGGGAAGGAGGGAGGGAAGGAGGGAAGGAACGAGAGAGGGAACGAGGGAGGGGGGGAGGGAGGCTTCCTGCTTCAATTCATCATGTGGAAACATGGAAAGGATCTGGGAACGTGGAGGGAAAGACAGAGAGACGACACCCTCTAAATAAAATCTACAGAAAAGATGCATGCTTGCATTTTGTAACTGCTCAGGAAAGAAGCATACATTCAGAAGTAATATGAAATTTATTAAGCACAGTGGGTGACAATTTAGGGCAGTGAGGTAGGGAAAGAACCCAGAGCTACTGCTCTGTGGTATCTACCACCTGGCCATCTCCAGCCATCTGAGACATTTTCATAACGTCTTATGATAGGACGATGACTCTCAGAGAAGTCACATAATTTCCCAAGTAATGTGACTAACAGAAATCAAACATTATTCTTTCTACATGCTGTGATAAACACTGCTGCTCACCCCGGGTTCAGACATACACTAGCTCTAGCTGCTATTTTCATAGCATAGCATATAGGGTGACAACAAGCTTCCCCCCTCACCAGGAGGCCACTCAAGAACCTTCTTCTAAAATCTGTGGGTACAGTCACAAGCTGTTTACTAATCACACTCCAAAACACAAGGAATGCTGGTCCTTGTGCTGACCTTGATGACGGTCATTACTACAGTGTCACATTTAGCTTAATTAAGGCAACTGATTCAAACAGAAACAAAATCATACTTCCTCAACAAGCCTTTCATTTTAGAAACTCACCGCATGGTAGTCTTATTTAGGCACTCAGTTATACAATAATTGAAGCCAGAAATTATATTAAAGTATAAAATGTATCCTTGGAGATAAACATGACAAAAAAAAAAAGAAAAAAGAAAAGAAAAAACTAGACTCCTACTTCCAATGAGTCAATATGCCTTAGGGAGGCTCTCAAGTGTGCAACCCTAATCCAGAGATGAGGACATATAGACCTTCTCTCTCTACTTAGATGTGTGTGCTGCAGATGTGTTTAGAGATTGTGGCATTGCTTTAGCTTCTCAAATAGGATGTGACAATGTTCCCAAGCACATTTGATTCCTGAAGGAAATGACATCTCCAAATAGAAAAGACACAAGCTCTCAAAGAAAGAGCTAAAATTGAGAATGCCCATGGAATGTAAGGTGGGCCCTGTGGCCATAGGGGAGAAGCCTGTGTATCTGACGACAGTCCTAGTGCTCCCAGGGCTAGAACAAGAACGGAAGGTAATGATGACGTGTCTTATGAATCGACTCATTGGGAGTGACTCCCTATTGACTTCCACCTTATTGTGTCAAAGCGGTTCAAAACCTGCTTGAACACTCGTCGTGTTTTTGTCTCTACAATAGGACGACAGGGAGCACTGGAGACTGAATTTAACTGAAAGAATTAGAGACAATGCTTTTCCTAGATGATAACGTAATGACAGCAGAGAAATGCTGACTGAGAGGAAGATGAATCTTACACTACATACGGGAATTATTCTTCCCTCTACTTCACTTGCCAATCACTGAGGTCTTGCTTCCACCCTTTGTTTTGGTGTCAAGGCTGAACCTAAGACTTTATGCTTTCTT